AACTGATGGTTTTTTGAATTATTTTTGCGATTTATTTGTTTACTTAGTGTTTTGGGATCTACGGGAAAGAGTTTTTTATTAGTCTCGATTTTCTGATGATTTTTTCAAATTTGTCGATTTATTATACTGTATTATTTATTAAACGATAAATCAAATAGAATATTGCCTTTCTATTAAGCTTTCTTCTCATCTTTTCAATTTCGAATTCCTTTTCATAACAATGTCCAACTTTATAAATCGCAAATGCATTCCTAATTCAGCAGCTTTCATAATTCTAATGCCATAAATTGACATACTCTATCGCTTTGTCTTCATAATATGTGTCTCCCTTATAGTCTTCTTGATCATTTAAGTCACCACTTTCATTTGAACTATTTTCGTTATCACTATCGTCATTTCTGTTTTCTTCACTACTGCTATCTCTATCTTTACTATTATCATCGTCATTACTATAGTCATCACCTTCATTTGAGCCATTTTCATTATTATTATCATTTCTGTTTTCTTCACCCAAGCTATTACTGCCACCATCATTTTCGTTATTATCATTTAGGGTTAAATCTATAATGCTCTCACTATCGCTTGCATTGTCTACATCAGTGTAAATATAATTACTATTATTATTTCAAGACTCTGGGTTAGCCACCCAATTATAATCAAACATTACATCCTCTTCAGACCCATCTTGAGCAATGGAGATGCCGCAACACTTAAATGACCATTTGATAAGGTTAGGATCAACTTGGTCTCATGCTAGTTTTATCCATTTTGCCACCAAATTATAAGCGGGTCGTTGAATACGACCTTTTGGGGTTAGTTTCTTGATTTCTTCACCCATCCAATCAAGATAGTATTCGCGATACTTAAATACAATATTGTATAAATTATGATGTAATTTGTGTGTCATTTTTTTTAATAAAAAATATATATACGGTGCAAGAATCTAAAAACCACAATCACTCCTTAAAATTTAATATGTTCTTAAATTATTAACACCAATAAGTTGTGCATATAAATATCTTATTGAAGTCGATAATTTAAAAAATGCTGATGTGCTACTTGATAATCTGCTTGGAATAGTCCAAATGTAACCATTAAATTATACCAGAATTCAGTATTTAATTATACTGTTTATATTTTGAGTAATTGTGGTTTCTAAACTTCTTGCACCGTACGTATATATAATTTACTTACCTTGTTTTTAAAAGACTTGTTGATATATACATCTAACAGTTGCAATTTATTAGTAAGCCTACTTGGAACAACTGCAAAATCGGTATTTTCTCATTAAACCGGTTTTTAACCGGATCTGTAAGATGACCACGAAATGAATCCATAACCAGTAACGAACAAGGATTAATAGACAAGCGAGCTCGACAATTCCAAACATTTTCAATCCAATAAATCATTTCATCAGAATTCATATACCCTTGTGGATTGGTTCGTATAACAATGC